ATAACCATGTACCCTTCCCAATCAAGAGCAATTATTCAATTGGCAGACAAAAAAAAAAGTGAGGGTAGGCAAGAAAATTATGTGATAACTTAATAAATGATAAAAATAATAATAATAATAATAATAATAAATAAATAAATAAAGGTGAGGGTAGGCAACAAACTTTGGTACTCTTTTAACAACTCATCAAACACCATGAGAAAAGTTCACAGAAGGCTTCAGGAACACATCAAGAGGTGTTGAATTTAAAAAAAGAAAAATAAAAATAAAAAACTGTTCCACAGAATCCTGGGTCACAACAAACTTTTGTATTCATAATAATTCATCTTTTATTGGTATTGTTTGTAACAAAAGAAAGTACGAATCTGTGGTCAATACAGCCATCTCACGCAGGATTGCTATGAGATTCACTATAAAAGAAAATTAAAACAAAAGCATTATATAAGGATGTCAATGAAATAAATGTTTTTAAACAAAAAAATAAATCAAAATTTTCTAAACAAATCTGTATATTCAGGATAGAATGACAATACTGAAAAGTAAAATGGGTTTTTGAAATCCATTCTCCCTCCTTTACTGCTCATGAGGGTAATGAAATTATTCATGAGGCAAGTAAATGGAAACCCTGAGTTAGTTCTTGTGAACGGTGGAAGGAGATCAAATTTGAATGACCTCAAAAGAAATTTAGTCAAGAAATTGGCATTAAAAGTATGTGCTTTTTTGAGACATTTAAACCTTGCCTCTTCAACAGGAACAAAAACAGTATAACATTAAGTTGTTAGTGGCGAGTTCTCGCTTGACCTTTGATCGAGCGAAAATATAATAAATAGTTGACAATTTCTAAGAAAACCTGATTTTGTGCTATTGCCTGGAGTAGCCTTTCCTTCTCCTTGAATGCTGGCAGAGATCTCCTGAAATCCAGTATCTTCCTCCCTTCAGGTGATTCCTGTCAATAATGAAGCATACATAAGTCAGATCTGTAAGTAATATCATCCAAATATAAGTTTTTATCTAAAATGCATTTATCGCTAGTGAGACCCCCAAGGAAGTGTTCAAAATGCACATTGAAATAAGAAGTATAGGAAAAAGAAACTTGGAAATGGAAGCTTGGGATTAAAATTGTTAAGAAAGTGATGCCTGCATTCGAAGCATAGAGGAGTGGTGTCCGGATATCTTGTCCACGGTCTTATGCATGCATAATGGACTGTCCCTTTCTACAATGGACATACTGTTCTAAAATAATATTTTAATCATAAGTACCGAACCAACTGGTCTACAAAAGGCTTTGAATAAATAAATGTGAAAAACTAAAAAATAATTATTGTTCTTATTATGAGCCTAATCTCAATGCAGTCTTCCATACTTGCAAGAAAAAATAAAACGGAACAGCATTGAGCACAAATTGCACATGAATATGAACCAGAAAGTAAAAACAGCAAAGAAACTTGTTTGACAACCATAGTCTGGATGTTAGCATCATCCGTTATTTAAACCAGGAAAATAAGACGGCAAGCTATAATATAACCAGTTACTGCATCCAATATTGGAGATCTAAAAATTTCTCTCAATTCTCAAAATAGTGAATACTTTGTGGGCAGGGGCATACAGATTTCTGTTATTCACATTTACAATTACATGTTACTCAATGTGGAGCATTGGTTTCATTACCTGCCATGCTCTTTGCATATTTCGCATCCGTAAACTCCTCCGCTGAAGTACCTTTTCCATCACAGACTCATCAAGATAAGAATTTTCATATTCATCCGTATTAACATCTTTAACCTCGTCGATAGACTTGGCATCATTTGAAATCTCACTAGCCTTTGCAGAACTTAACCGAATGCGATCACAGTGTTCCTGTAGTAAACCTTCAACCCTCCTTTGCAAACTTAAAGGAATAGCAACCTGCACATATAAGAAAGCTAAGGTTTTTTTTCCAATGGAATGATCCTCGGTACAAGAGGTACTGTAATCAAACTTTTCAAGTCAAATAGATTGTTACCTCTCTTTGTGGTCGTTTATCATCCAAATCTGGTCGGTAGTTAGGAAGGGGAACTTTACTGGCAACAACCACTTTTCCGTACATTGAACTGCCAATGCAAAGCAAATTCTAACTAAACTGAAATATTTAAATATATATATATAATATATAAATAAAGTTCCCATCTACCAGTAGAGCCCCATCTTTTTGGCAAGGTTTGAGATCTGCTCAAAGTCTCTCTTGTCCCTGTTATCTCTTGAGATGATCTCTTGATCCTTCTCATTTCGAGATAGCAAGCTAAGTTTCCATTTCCATTCATCGATGTTGGCCACAGAAGATGAGGCCTGAAATTTTGTAACAATAACTAGCTTTAAAAATAAATGAACACAAAGTACAAACTCAAGAGAGACGATAGTATAAGTAATAACAATATTTGGGAAATGACCATCAACTTACTCTGTGTCCAGAACTGCAATTAAATTTCTCTATTAAATTGATAATAAATATACTAAAATTTTGATACATATGTGACATAGCCCATATTTTATGAGTTGACACTTAAATAGAACACCATTACTACGTGATTCCTTTTGGTTTATAACAAATAGAAGGTTGAAGCATGGATGGACATCCAAAAAGTTAGCTCTTTCAAGCAAAAGGCACAATAGTGAGTACAATATCAGCGACGTCTGGTTATAATGCACCATATTTTTTAAACAGTGTTGTGATGGCATGTGGACATCTATTTCTTTAACAGAAAAAATCTATTAGTACAAAATCTAGCAGACCATGAAAGTGACAAGAGATGTTGTATATTTATATAGCTACCGAGCCACGTGCCAACGTCTGACTATAATGTTTCAGTTCACTCAAAGTGTCACTTGATATAAAATACTAATCGGTCGATCTTGTTGACAAGCATCCCTTCAACATTTTATTAGCACAAACTCAGAACGTGAAGCTTAAAGTCCAAGTCCAACGCTTTGCGACTAAACTCGGACAAATCTAATCGAGACAGCCCATATGCCATGATATTAAAAGATGCAGCTCGTCCAAACCCATCTATGCGCCAAATTAAGGACCGAACTTGAGTTCCTATGCACGCTAACAGCTCAACAAGGAACTGCCAGACTAAACCCGCTCCAAGGGATGCATCGCCTTCATTCAGACTAATGCGAGAGCCTACAAATTCTAACGTCAAAATCTAAAGCCCTCAAAATACAAAATACGGATCCGAGCCAACAAAATTTTAATTGATACGGGACCATATACATCGAAAAGTGCAGGAAAACAATACAAAGAGAACCCTAATCTATAGCCCCTTGGGCTCGTCATGAAACTGGCATTTCAACGAAATTTTAGACGAACTAAAAAGAAGTGATTGCTTTCAGACTACGAAATGAATAGAAATACCACAATCTCAAACAAAAATTCCACCTCCATTTAAACGAACATATGCATAAACAATACGGAAGTAAATAACCTACCGTATTGTTCTCAACGTCGCACTCGTACTCATCGTCCGAGAATTGCTCCGCGGCATAATGATACGAACCTCGCCAGACTCGGGAAACAGAAAACGAATGAGACTGTAGAAGCAGTTTAAGTGGCCTCACAGCGAGGCTGTACTTGTTAGACAGGTCGCAGTTGATGTTCTTCGATAATACTAAGAAAACATTTGGAAGTCGCTTGAAATTATGCATTCTAACAGAGAAGACTCAGTCATGGAAGCCGGAACGGTATCCCTTCATCGCACTGACCATTCGTTTTCTGATGGGTTTCGAACTATGCCTCCGGCTCCGGCAGCAAGACGATTGCCGACTAGAAATATCTCAGAGTTCGACACTGATTGAGTCACTAGTTCGCCTTCGATTGCCGCCTTCCAACCCCGTCCCAATTAAAATCCCATCGCTAAGTTCTTTTATATATATGTATATATATATATATCAAATTTGGTTAAATAAACTTTTTGATTTCATCATATATTACTCTTCAAACTACTTATTATTTAATTTTAAAAATATTTTAATTTTAACATTTTAATTATCATACAAAATCCGAGAAAATTTGCGAAAACGAAAAAAATTATTTATAAAAGTGTGAAAACTTTTCTTTAGTTTCCTCTAGTATACGGGTTTTAAAACTGTGAGGTTAATAATAATATGTAACGGGCCAAAATGAAAAATATATGATAACATTTGGCTCGTAGCATTACAAATAGTATCAGAGCTAGGTGTCACAGTCATGCTCGTCGTGTTGCCTATGGCCACATACCCATGACAAGACAAACCCTTTATGTCTTTCCATGTTCTAGTATTTTACTTTTGTATTTCTAATAAATACGACGTTTCGGAAAAATCATGTCTAGACCTACTGGACATTAAATGCCTCAAAATGAAAAATATATGCTAACATTTGGCTCGTAGCATTACAAATAGTATCAGAGCTAGGTGTCACAGTCATGCTCGTCGTGTTGCCTATGGCCACATACTCATGACAAGACAAACCTTTTATGTCTTTCCATGTTCTAGTATTTTACTTTTGTATTTCTAGGAAATACAACGTTTCTGAAAAATCATGTCTAGACCTACTAGACATTAAATGCCTCAAAATGTACTATAGGGGATATGACTAGTCGTCAACTTCTCTATACTAATAGTTATATATGATAAGCTGTTGTTGTTACTCTCATATATCTCTTTCAAAATATCTCTATACCCTCGTTTTCTAAAACCTTATTCTTAAATCGAGGCCAGAGAATCAAGCATGCGTCACTTGGCTGTAGTCGACATAAGAACGAATTAGCTTAACTCGCTTATTGTTGGAAAGTGAGTGGCTCACAATAGCAAGTTCGCTGACGACACTAATAGGGTGCCAATGACAACACTAGGCTCCATATGCATTTTAAAACGGTCATTTTATTTATTTATTTTTAGTTGAAGGGAGGTATATATATATATATATATATATATTATAAAACTATATAAAAAAATAAATAAATAAATAAAATGGCAATTAATTGAGAAGGGCTTTTGGCGCCGACTGTTCCCTCCTTGCCCTGCTTCCATGTTCTTCCACTTCGCTTACGAACCCAACCTCACTTCACTTCACATTTCAGTTCTGGCTTCTTCACCTCCATGAATGCCCCAATAATCGGTGAGTTCCTGCCTTTTCCTTCCCAATTCATCTCCCTAATTTCGAAATAGTTTTTTTTTTCCTCTGGTATTTATTTCACTTCGTTCTGTCTGCGAAGATCCGCTTCAAGGAGATTTCCCGGAGGTTATAGAAGAGTTTCTCGAACATGGCGTGATGAAATGCATCGCCTTTAACCGTCGCGGTACTCTTCTAGCAGGTATCCATGGCTGTCTTCGTTTTACATGAATCTCTTTTCCTGGACGACTTGGCTGTTAGAAGCATTTTCAAACTTTAATGTTGTTTTTGTGATTTTTGGGTTTTTGCTGCGTTGATGATTATATGGCTCGGTTTTGTTTTAGTTCATGCTTTGAGTGTTAATATTGATTTTGTTATGCTGGCGAGCAGGATTGAGCCATGAGGGTGTGGTAAATGATTCAAAATGTCCTTGTAATCCCCTTTGTTTAGCTAGGTTTCCATGTTATTACTTGTGTTTCTTCTCCTTTTGAATGGATAACCTCTTTCACTGAGACAAGAGCCCAAGAGAGAAGGAGCAAAAACTACAAAAAGAGGCTTCAATAGTTAAGATTCAAGATTAAAGAACTAACTTCATTGTGTATTGCCGAAAGGAGGTTGAATATGCTTGATTTATGGGGGTATCCACTATACGTTTACATTTTCAAGTTTTTTCTTCTCATCTCAAAGAAAAAGGACAGTCTAATTCTGTGTTGTTTCTTGATTCAGCTCAAATAAGCATGTGGTAGTGTCACTTTTGAGTTCCATGTCTTATTGACACTGGTGTTGATTAGATGAGTTTCTTGCTTTGTGGAAACCATTTTTGTGAGATCCCTAGTCAGTTGGAGAGGGAAATGAAACATTTCGTATAAGTGTGTGGAAACTTTTCCTCAGTAGATGCGTTTTAAAACTGTGAGGTTGATGATGATACGTAACGGGTCAAAGCGGACAATATCCACTAGCGGTGGGCTTGGGCTATTACAATTGATATCAGAGCCAGACACAGGGCGCTGGCCCCCAAGAGGGGTGGATTATGAGATCCCACATCAGTTGGAGAGGGAAACGAAGCATTTCTTACAAGGGTGTGGAAACCTCTCCCTAATAGACACGTTCTAAAACTATGAGGCTTATGGCGATACGTAACGGGCCAAAGTGGACAATATCTACTAGCAGTGGGCTTTGACTATTACAATTTTGGTCAATATCCGGTAGATATTAATGCTTTAACGTTACTATTGGCCAGCTGGATGCTCTGATGGAAACTGTGTTATCTGGGATTTTGAGACCAGAGGCATTGCTAAGGAGCTTAAAGACAAAGATTGTGTTTCTGCAATTACGAGTGTCTGTTGGTCAAATTATGGCCATCAAATTCTTGTATCTGCTGCCGATAGGTCGTTAACACTGTGGAACGTTCTCAAGGGGGAGAAGGTAAACCGCATAACTCTGCAACAGACCCCTTTACAAGCTCGTCTGCATCCTGGATCTTCTAATCCATCTCTCTGCTTGGCATGCCCTCTCTCATCTGCTCCTATGATTGTCGACTTAAAGACGGGAAGCACAACTCTACTTCCAGTTTGTATTTCTGATGCAGATACAGCTTCTTCTCGTGGCAAAGTATCTGATGGAACTCCGCCTTTTACCCCGACAGCGGCTTGCTTTAACAAGTATGGCGACCTAGTTTATGTAGGAAATTCAAAAGGGGAAATACTTGTGATAGATTACGAAAGAGTTCAGATAGAGGCCATGGTTCCAATTTCTGGAGGTGCTGTTGTGAAGAACATAGTATTTAGTAGAAATGGTCAATATCTTCTCACTAATTCTAACGACAGAACGATTAGAATCTATGAAAGTCTCCTACCCAACAAAGATGGTTTGAAATTCATTGACGAAATTACGAAAGAGTTCGATGGGCTCGATGGTGCTGAGAAACTAAAGGCTGTTGGAACAAAGTGTTTAACTCTTTTCCGGGAGTTTCAAGATTCTATCACTAGAATGCACTGGAAAGCACCTTGTTTTAGTGGTGATGGTGAGTGGGTTGTTGGTGGTTCTGCAAGCAAAGGCGAACACAAGATTTACATTTGGGATCGAGCAGGTTATCTCGTAAAAATCCTCGAAGGGCCAAAGGAAGCATTGATTGATTTAGGCTGGCATCCCGTTCATCCCATTGTCGTCTCTGTTTCACTTACTGGCTTAATTTATATTTGGGCTAAAGATTATACTGAGAATTGGAGTGCTTTTGCTCCTGATTTTAAAGAGCTCGAGGAAAACGAAGAATACGTGGAAAGAGAAGATGAATTTGATCTGAACCCCGAAACCGAAAAGGTGAGATTATAATTGTTATTTTTCCTAAGTTTTTGATTCCTTGCCTAGTCACATGACAGATCCGTGGTTTCAGGTGAAAGAACCCGATGTTAATGAAGATGAAGAAGTCGATATCGTAAATTTGGAGAAGGATTCAGCTTTCAGTGACTCAGATGCTTCACAGGATGAACTATGCTTCTTGCCAGCTATCCCATGTCCCGACATTATCGAGCAGCAGGATAAGTGCATCGAGATTTCTTCAAAAATGATCGAAAATAACAATTCCGGATCCCCACCTTCAGAGGAGGCTGGTGTAAATGGCCGTACGACCAATCATGCATCAAGTCCACTGGAAGGTAACAATTCACTTGCTCAGTTGATTGTGTTTTCTTCTGTGTGTTGCTGGGTACATACCATTTACATATCTTGTTTTCTAGGCTACCCTACAAAGAGAACCCTTGGGCCCAGTTTCTTAAGGAATTAGCATAAAACCATAACTCAGTTCAGTTACTCAAGCAAGCATAAACATATCACAGCTACATTAAGTGTCTCCTAGTATCTAAAAGGATATTATATTGTTCTTGTTCATGAACATAAATGGTGCCCTTATGAGTGAACTTGATATCTGAACGAGGGAACGGGGATATCTGAGCGAACTTGATGATCTTTTTTCTCTGAATAATGTGTTCTGACTTTATGTTCTCATGTTATGGTATGAAATACTTCCTCCCCCAATGGTGTTCTATGCAAGAGAAAATTGGATGGCAAAGGCCTCTTCTTTCGAGAAAACCTCAGTTGTGAGATCTTACATCGGTTGGAGAGAGGAACGAAACATTCTTTATAAGAGTGTGAAAACTTCTCCCTCACAACCATATTTTAAAACCTTGTGGGGAAGCTCGGAAGGAAAAATAAAAACAGACAATATCTTCCCATGGTGGGCTTAGGTTGTTACAAATGGTATTAGAGCCAGATACCGGACGGTGTACCAGTGAGGACGCTGAGCCTTAAAGGGAGTGGACACCGAGTGGTGTGCTAGCAAGGATGCTGAGCCCCGAAAGGGATTGGATTGTGAGATCCCACATCGATTGGAAAAGGAAGGGAACGAGTGACAGCGTGGAGTTGGGTCCTAGAGGGGGTGGATTATGAGATCCCACATCGGTTAAAGAAGGAAATGAAACATTCTTTATAAGGGTTTGAAAATTTCTCCCTAGCATTCACATTTTAAAACCTTGAGGAGAAGCCCGGAAGAAAAAACTCAAAGAGGACACTATCTGCCAATAATAGGCTTGTGCTGTGTTACATAAGTAGTTACTCTTGCAAAAGTTTTTCTATAGCCTTATCATCGGTTCCAATCAAACCGGTTCTTCTCTCTAACCTTGTTAAGATGCATCCATCATCTTGAAACAACACGAGCCAGTAGTTACACAATATGTTTCCGTAACTCTGTCCGAACCAATCAATATCGCTTCGTAATTCAACTAGGGGTTGGTTTGTTTTGCAGTATTAGATAACCCAGACGATGCAGGAGGAGCACAGGTGAAACGAAAACGAAAACCATCAGAGAAAGGACTGGAATTGCAAGCAGAGAAGGGAAAGAAACCCTCTAAACCTTCAGGTAGATTGTCAAAATTTAAAACCAAGTCCATGGTTCATCAGGATAATAGCAATGGTACGTACGGTGATGACAATTCTGATGAATAGCGGTAGAAAAAATCTGGCCTTTTTAATTTTATTGCATTAAGTTAATTAATCTTAGTTGATTATTACTGCTTTTAATTGGCATTTCAATATTAATGGAAAAAAAAAAGTCCAATATTTTAAATATCATAAGTTTCAATAATTAATCATTACTTATTTTAAATATCAATCTTAGTTGCTTTTATTTAAATAAATTGAGTCAGTTTTAATTATTTGATATATATTTGTATTAGTTATAACGTTGTTTATAAATAAATTATGGTAACGTTAATTTTTTATATTCTGATTAAATAATCTATAAAAAAAAAAAGTTACTTTTTTGGGGGGGTAAACACAAGAAATGTTACTGCTGCCGTTAAAATATTAATGGGAAATAATTTATTATGTTATTTTTTTAAAAAAAAAAAAATTTTAAAAACGAAAAATACAATTCTCGTACATTTAATTCACATGCCTAAGTACACAATTTACATTTAATTAAATTCTCCTATATTGACTTCCAAATATTTTACTATATTATAATTATTTTAAAATAAAATTTCAACCAATTGCCTTAGTAGTTTTTATAATTTTAAGGAATGATTAGACTTTTTTTTGCCAAATTTAGAAATAAAAATATTAAAAAAATTAAAATATTGGTTTAGATTTTTGAAAACAGATGCTATAGATAATAAAACAAAATATATCTTAATATTTATAAGTTTTAAAATAATTATTAGGAGACACCTGAAAACAGAAAGTTTCGAAGTTTTAAAAAAATTTGGTAGAAATTTGAATGCTTAATTTAATTGATGGATTAAATTTTATTAGCTTACCAAATATTATCAACAAATTTTAATCTATTACATAAATATTATTTATTACAACAAAAAGTTAAAAGAAAATTAATAAATGGAAAATGAAACTCCAAATCAAATTAGGGAAGGCAGCAAAGGGAAGGAATCTGGTTGGTAGCATGGCTGCACCTACAGCCAAGTGTTGGGCAGTTTCATAACTCACCTAGTTAATTAACCCTCATTCTTTAACCCTAGTTAACTTCTTCTTTTCTTTAACTCCCCCTCTCTGCTCTCTCTACTTTGTTGTTGGTAAACCACTTTAGGTTACCAAAATGCTTCTCAAAATTTCTCCCTCTCAACAATCCAATCCAACACGGACGCCATTTTAATACTGCATTTCGCTTCCAATTCCTTAATTCATTTCTCTCCTCCTCTTCTTCAATCGCAATCGTAATCTCTCCGCCATCGCCGCCGCTTCTCGCCATGAGAATAATCTCTCCGCCTGTCTCTTCTTCTTCTTCTTCTTCTTCTTCTTCTTCTTCTTCTTCTTCCTCTTCCTCCTCGTCTTCTTCCTCCTCCTGCATCGGCTCCGATTCCGGCATTCATAACAACAATCTCGCCGCTCCTCACCGGCCGCAATCTGAGAAAACCACAGCCAAACGACGGAGGAGGAATCAAGATGAAACGAAATGCCAGATTCATAATCATAACGCTAATGGATCCAACAACGCCTCTCCCGCTCGGCGGAGCTCCATTTACAGAGGAGTTACTAGGTTTACTTTCAAATTTGTAATTTGATTTTTTAATTTGCATGTTGAATTGTGATTAGGAAATTATTGTTCCGATTCGAAATCAGGCACCGATGGACCGGCCGGTTCGAAGCTCATCTCTGGGACAAGAGTTCATGGAATAACATTCAGAACAAAAAGGGAAGGCAAGGTGAGGAAATTAAAAGATCCTCTTAATTACTTAATTACTTAATTAATTAGTTAATTGAAGAGGAGATCTAAATAATTATTTGTTTATTTGGTTATTTATTCTTTTATATTTAAAAAAAATAAGGCCCTGAATTTGTTTTGCTGACTGTGTATCTTGGGGCCTCTCCTGTCATCTCCAACGTTCATTTTGCGCTTTTGTCGCTGATCAGTTTATTTGGGTAAGCTCTCTGTATCTTAATTTTCTCTATTTTTTTAAAAAATATATATTTCTGGACACGTGGCGGGATAATGGTTATCTTCTTCGTCCCGTTTCAAAATTTTATTGATTAATATGAAATTCATAAATTTGCAGGAGCCTACGACAACGAGGAAGCCGCTGCTCGAACTTATGACCTTGCTGCCCTCAAATATTGGGGCCCCGGGACCACGCTCAATTTCCCGGTACCTTTGACACTCAAGGCTAAAACAGACATTTCACTTTAAATTCTCAATTTATTTATTTAAATCTCCATAAAGCGAATCTCAATTTCATAGCCCTAAATTGACATTTTTCGTGATTTATTTTGAAGAATATTGTAAAATTATGGTCGGCATATATATAATACTTTTATTTATTTTTTTAATAAAATGTAAATTTATGAAAGATTAAAATGTGGGGTCCAAAAATTGCAGGTAGAGTCGTACACGAATGAAATGGAAGAAATGCGGAAAGTTTCCAAGGAGGAATATTTGGCGTCGTTACGGCGGCAGAGCAGTGGTTTTTCCAGAGGCGTTTCCAAGTACCGCGGCGTTGCCCGGCACCACCACAACGGCCGGTGGGAGGCTCGGATTGGCCGTGTTTTTGGAAGCAAATATCTCTACTTGGGAACTTACAGTACGTCTCTCTCTTTCTCTCTTTATGTCTACTTGTTAACACCACGTGGCAATGCCACGTGGGTTTTTAGTTGTTACGTGGCTCAGACCGTCAGAAATTTTCCCAGTCTGTCAGCTAACGTGGTACCATCGTTCTTACTTGTCTTAGACAAACCAATTCTTTATTGGCTTTAGCTTACATTTTAAGAAAAAATAAAATAATTTTATTAAGAAAATAAATGTTTAAAATTATATAAATTTATTAGGGTTGTTTGTTAATTGGTTTAACTACTGGGTCACTTCCAATCCCAAATCATCAACTGTTTCCATAGAAAAATGAGGTCCTTAGGTTCACCTTCCTTGAATTTGGTGTGTAATTCTAATTTATATATATATTAATTAAATAATGTTCAACTGTTTCCACCTTAAAATATTTTTTTTAGTTCATATATTTTAAACTGCTTATTTTAATTTAAAAATATATAAATAGTAAAATTATTGAAGGGGAGGAGTGGTCCAAGAGGGGTAAATAAATTTGGGGATGGGGGTACGGCACGTGATCCTTGTCGAGCTGGCAATATAAAATAATAAATAAAACAGTAGTTTGCGATCCACAGCTTTCCAAAAGTGAAGAAAAAGTATTACGTGGCGTCACGTGCCACTTCACTAGCCTCTGTCGGGGTGGGAACTTTTTAGCTTGTTTTTTTACATCTGTACTTTCATTTTCCTGGAGCCCATATTTCTTTTAAATAATTATTTTATTTTATTTTATTTTCTGCGTTATTTAATTTCTTCGGTCAAACCAAAAATCAAGGGAAATTCTTAGAGACAGCAGCCCCAGTTGTTCTGCATTCCTGCTTTCAATATTTTGACTTTTTTATTTTATTTTTATATAATATACTGTGAAATAAGGGGAGAATATGGATCTGTTTTTGTGATATGACTGCAATTAATTAATTGATTTAGATTCAAAACTAGTAAGGTCACGTGATTTCCCATCTAAATTTCAAACCAAACCCCATTTAGGAAGTGTAATTAATTCGATTAATTAAGTAATTAAGTTGATTAAGGTTTTGGTTTTATTTGTTTGTTAAGATACACAAGAAGAAGCAGCTGCAGCATATGACATGGCTGCCATTGAGTACAGAGGAGCCAATGCAGTCACCAACTTCGACATTAGCAATTACATTGGGAGGTTACAGAATAAATCATCACCAGATGACCCCAGTTGCTCCCCTGCTTCTTCTCACGGCGAAGTAGTACAACAACAACAACACGACCAAGATCAGCAGCGGCAACAACAACAACAAATTGCATTCTCGAGCCCGCCCGACCTCCAGTTTTCGATCGAGAATAACCCCTCTATGGTTGTCATGGATGAACCACCAACACAAGACGACCATGATCTCCATTGGTCTTTCTTAGACACGGGATTATTCGTGCACGTCCCTGACCTCCCACTTGAGAAATCGAGCGAGTTAGCTGACTTATACTTTGACGAGATCAGGTTTGAGGACGATATTGGGTTGATGTTCGAAGCAAGCTTAGAGAACAACAAGAACTGCGAAGGTAACGATGAAGATGATGATAACGTTGGGAAGAAGGAGGTCAACAACTGTAATGAGAAAATCAGATTGTTCGCAGCTACTACGACAACTTCACCGTCTTCTTCGTCGATAACCACCTCGGTTTCGTGTGAATTTAGGGTTTGAGATCTTAGGGGCTTGTTGTTTTTGTTTAAAATGGGAAAATCAAAATGTTAGAATATCATATGTTTATGAGCCTGTGGTCTTCTCTGTTCTTGGAGATTTGCTTAGGTGTTTTTGTTTTTAATAATTTGTTAATTTAATTTTTCAGCTTCCTTTTTTTTTTTTATAAATAATTTTCTCGAGGGTATTTTGGTCCAATGAAAAAGCCAATTAACATCCCTAAAACACAACCTTGGATTACTCAAAACATGTTTCTTAACGAAACTGTAACATCAAACAAAAGTTGTCCCCCTCTCTCTTTCTAATTTCTTGACCTTATGAAACATTATAAGAACAATATGTATACTTTTGTGATTATCGAGTTGTACGAAAGGTGTCGTGTCTGATTTGTTTCGTTTATGTTTGATAATGATTTGTTTTAAATTTTTTTATTTTGTAAAATTGTGCTCGTCAAATTTATAATAATTTAATTTTTACCTTAAAATCTCATCAAATTTAAATGTCAATAATTTTAATATTTTTTTTTAACTATATTTACTAAACTACTAAAAATTAAAGTTTACCTAATAAATTATTTATTATTTTATGAAATTTTAGGATTTTTTTTAATTGTCATAAAAAATAATGCATCAAAAATGTAATTTAATAAAATTAAAATGAATATTTGCATATCTATTTTCGAGACGAGTATATTTTATCAAACAAATGGGCCGAATGGGCTCTAAAAAATCTGGAAGCCGTCACTCACCATGAGGCCGTGGGTGAGGCTTAAGGCCCAATAATATTATATTCCATATGGCCTCTTTCAGCCCACATCTTTAATATATATTATTATATTATATTATATTTTAAAGACGCCGAATATTAGAGAATAAAGAAAGATTTTGAAAATCTCCCCCTAACAGATACGTTTTAAAATTATAAGGTTAATGACGATATATAACATACTAAAGTTGACAATATTTATTAGCGGTGGGCTTGGACAGTTACAAATGGTATCAGAGTTAGACAACGAACGGTGTACCCATGAAGACACGGGACCCTGAAGGAGATTTAGATTGTGAGCGGGCCTGAACAGTTACAAATGGTATCAGAGTTAGACAACGAACAGTCTACCCATGAAGACACTGGACCCTGAAGGAGATTAGAATGTGAGATTACACATCGGTTGAACTGGACCCCCAAGTAGATGGATTGTGACATCTCACATAGGTAGAGAGTTGACTCGTGATGGAGAAAGCCCAAAAGAAAAAAAATTCAAAAAATATAATATTTGAGGTCACCTAATATAGAATTATTTCATCCATGACACCGTTAACTTTAAATTTTTATAACAAAGTTATCGAAAGTACTCCTTATTAATATATATAATAATTTATTTTTTTTAATTCAGTCTTTTTAGTCATTCTATTCTTGAGATTATTATTATTCAAATATAGTATCCGTTCATTCCTATAACTTTTATTTACTCGATGTCATACATTCCCAGCTTCTACGAAGGGATGTTCGGGTTGAAAAATAGTGACCCAAATAGAACCGAAACACCAGTCCTCCAAGGTATATTTCGTTCGATTAAATTTAAAATTAAATAATTAAATTGGAGGGTAGCGTCGGTGGATAATTTGTGGTAAGTTTTGTTCTTTACTTAATCCATTAAACAACTTTTTAATACTTTAAAAAATTAATTAATTACAGTTTTAAATACTTTAATTATAATTACTTTTGATTATCCACTCTTCTTCTTTTTTCCCGTCCTCTATATAAACACTCTCCTTCTTTGCTTACTGAGTCACTTCCGAGTTTACATTATGAACTCAGTTCCCTTCATTTTCCTTCTCTTCCTCTCTCTCGGCCTCGCCGGAGCTTCCGATTCTGCTCCGCCGTCCGCCTTCCTCTGTAAATCCACTCTCTATCCTAAGCTTTGCCGTTCCATTCTCTCCTCCATCCGATTCTCCCCCTCCGATCCATACGGCTACGGAAAATTCTCCGTCAAGAAGTGTCTCAAACAGGCGATCAAAATGTCGAGCGTTATCGGCGAGTATCTCAACCGAGGAGGCGATTCGAGGTTGAATCGGCAGGAGGTTGGCGCTCTGGAAGACTGCAGAGAGCTTTCCGATTCGAATGTGGAGTTTCTCCAGTCGATTGATGGCGTATTGGAGGCAGCGGAGGGCGTTGATGAGGAACTGGTGGAGCGTATTGAGAGTATTTTGAGCGCGATCGTGACGAACGGCCAGACTTGTATCGACGGATTGGTGGAGTCGAGGAGTAGTTTGGGGAATGCGCTATCGGCACCGCTATTGAGCGCGGGGGAACTGTACAGTGTATCGTTAGGACTGGTTAAGAACTCGCTGTCACGGCGGTGGAAGAAGCGGAGGCAGAAGGGAGACGGCGAGGGAGGGAATTTCCCGGCGGCTGCGCAGAGCAGAGAGCCATTGAACACGCTGATCAAGGTACGATTCGATCTGGTGCCGTTGTTATTTGGTTTCTGTTTGTCTGTTCGTTCGGTTACACGGACCATTACATTTGCTTTATTCAATGCATCAAAAAATTGGGCGAAAATTAGTTTTTGTTTGGATGTTGCCACTAATATATATATATATATATATTTTTTAAATTAATCTAATAAATAATAATGTTATAATTTTTTCAAAGTAATAGTAAAACAATAAATCATTAACAAATAAGCTTCTTCTTTAAGAATTAATAAAATAAAATTGTTATTAAAATGGGTAATCAACCTTGTAATTAATGCTTCAAAAGTGCATTAAATTCTCCCCTAATGACATTATTACTGAGCAGAAATCACAATTGATGGTTGCATTAAGGGGAATTAGTGAGGAAAAAACAGTTGAATATGTTTAAGTATTTATAGTTACATCATTTTAAAACTATGCTTTAATTTAATTTAATGCACATTTAATTGATTTCTGATTTTTTTCATATTACTTATGAATTACTTACATTGGAATATCATCTTTATACAAAGTGAGGAATTTAACTTTTCATAAAGAACTATAGTTTAATATTTGAATTTTTACCAATATGATCAGTAAAAACAGTATATTAAATAAATAACAAGAATGTTTTTTAGTGGAAAAAAAAGAGTATATATATATATATTGTTCATTAAATTTATGTTAAATACGTTAATAATTTTGTTGGTGTCACGGGAGAGATTCTAGGATTCCCAAGCTCCACCAAATGCATGTTACAAATTCAGATGTGGATTCTCCTCATAATTTTTTAATTTGCCTTTTCTCTAATTGTTTTATTCCTATCATTTGCCTTTTATTATATATATATATATATATATATATATATATATATATATATATGTTTATGTATATGTATGTGTATGTGTATGTATATGTATATGAATATGAATATGGGCTGGCAACCTGACCAGCTAAAAGCAACTCCAAGCTCCGATGTCGTAGGATCAAATTATACAGAGCGTGATTCCATTGTTGTAATCGAACGATTTCCTTAATTTCTATCCAGTATAAACTGAATAAAAAATCATGCAACAAGTCTTGATCTATACAAAACACACTAGGTTTTTGTCTTTAGGTACTACAGACCCTCTGCCATCTATTGCAGCAGAGCCATTTCATGAGCTGGGACTAAGACTAGAAAGAAGAGGCTTTCCTGTGGACTAGGCGTGGGTGTGGGTGTGGCTAGGAGAGTTTATCTATATATTGAAACTAGTCTTGGATTTTAAGACAAAGGGGCAATTGTTCCTTTTTTTTCTTACATCCGGCTCACTTTAGTATAAATTAGTTGCTGATCTTTCAAGTTGATTGCCGTTAGTTGAACAGACTCTAATATTGTCTATAAATTCATGATCATTTCTTAAATAGAAATGAGTCGTGGACTTTCATCATCCAACAATTGCATTTCTTTCCTTATGAACTTAACAATGATCTTAAGAATTTGAATGAACAGGGACTACATATGAGTTCGTGTAACCAATCCACAAAGTGTTGGGGAAGGAAGCGCTTGTTGACTGATTTGGGCACCACAGGAATTTTGATCAACAACACTGTGGTTGTTAGCTCAACAGGTGCTGACAACTTCACATCAATTGGCGATGCAATTTCATTCGCTCCCAACAATTCAATGCTTCAAGATGGCTACTTTGTTATCTATGTTAGACAAGGATACTACGACGAATACGTTATCGTCCCCAAGTACAAAACCAACATAATGCTCATCGGAGATGGCATTAACCGAACCGTCATCACGGGGAACCATAATGTCGTCGATGGTTGGACGACTTACAATTCCTCTACCTTTAGTGAGCAATTCACAAATCCCTAACTTATTCCTTTAAAAGTTATAATATTGTCGCATCAAAATTATTCCGAAATTGGTAGCTGAATGTTTGGGATATATGTTGGCAGCTGTTTATGGGGATGGATTTGTTGCAATAGACATGACATTCAGGAACACAGCAGGAGCAGAGAAGCACCAAGCAGTGGCAGTGAGGAACAGTGCAGATCTCTCAACATTCTACCGCTGTAGCTTTGAGGGATATCAAGACACTCTTTATGTACATTCCATGAGGCAATTCTACAGGGAATGCGACGTTTATGGCACTGTCGACTTCATTTTTGGCAACGCTGCTGCAGTTTTCCAGCAATGTAATCTATACGCTAGAAAGCCACTCCCCAACCAAAAGAACGCCTTCACGGCGCAAGGCCGAACCGATCCAAACCAAAGCACGGGCATCTCGATCCACAACTGCACCATCAAGGCTGCCCCAGAGTGGGTGATGGATTTGAATGCGACGACAACAACGACGATGAACTATCTCGGGCGGCCGTGGAAGCCGTTCTCAAGGACGGTGTATATGCAGTCTTACATTGGGGATTTGATCAGCCCAGTGGGGTGGCTGGAGTGGAATGGAACGGTGGGATTGGACACATTGTATTATGGGGAGTTTGAGAATTATGGAGCAGGAGCTAACACGAGCTCGAGGGTCAATTGGGGTGGCCATAGCTTGATGAATATCACAGAGGCTATGAATTTTACCGTCTATAACTTCACCATGGGAGATACTTGGCTGCCCTATACAGATATCCCCTTCTCTGGAGGTTTGCTATGAATTCTATTCTCTCTTAATTTTATGTTTTTTTTTCAAGCTTTTCATCCCTTAATTATATATATATATATATATAGTAATAGTGTATCGTTGATGAGTTAGAGTTCTCCAAATATTTAGAGAGAGCTCCAATTCCGTAACGAGCTCATTGAATATAATTTCCAAAAATATATATTGAAATTGAATTACCATCTAAAATAAATATTTGAAAGTAAATAAAAATTGAAACAGCTCAAGTTATATCCTTTTTTAGTTTTTCCTCGTTTTTTTTTCTCTCTAACCATTCTTTCTAAGTAACCTGAGATTTCACAATCCATCCTTTTGGATGCACAACTTCCTTGTTCGCACACGATACAATGTCGGGCTCTAATACCATTTGTAATAACATAAGCCCACACACGTAATAGATATTGTCCTCTTCCTCTTTAGGCTTTTTATTTTGGGTTTGTTCTGAAGGTTAAGCATCTAGTAGTGAGATGTTTCCACACTGACAAATAACAAATGTTTCTTCCCCTCTCCTAGGATCTCACAAAAATATATTTTTTTCTTTTGTATTAAATAAACAACCCGACCTAACTATTCTTAGTTGGATTGAGTTAGGCCAAACGATTGGGTTGTGTCTAAAAATATGTTTTTAAAAAGTTAATAGGATATTAATTTTTTTAATCTTAATTATGTTATGTAATTTATTAATCACTAAAAGAGACAAATTTACATGCACGAGATGTGCTGTTACATTACTTTAATTAATGATATTTGGACAAGTAAATTTGATCCAATAGAAATTAATATTTATTTATTTTATTTTATTTTTTAAAATATAAATAAGAATAATGACGCAACGTTAGAAAAATTATTAAATGTTTTCATTTATTTTTTAGTATTAATTGAGAAATCATTGCTAACTTCAGCTTCGTTGCGTCGCAAATGACAAGCCGTAATAAGCTTATGCGAAATATGCCAACACCGCTATCACAACCGCCGCCGAGAGACTCACCGTCGTCAGTAACTGCATCCTTTGGACAGTGAAGCCGCCGGGAAGTTTCCCTACTCTGGTCGTTCTCGGAGATGGAGTTACGGCGTCGATCTTGGCTGTTCCCACATTCTTATCTACCTCCTCTGTTTTAGATTCCCTCCCCTTTTCTGGATTTTGATTTTCAATTTCTTTCTTCTCTGTTGGCTTCTTCTGATCTGGGCTGCTAATTTTCCGATCCAGCGTCGTTTCCGCCTTGCCGGAATCCCCTTGTACCTGACCCCTTTCAGCCGCCGCCGCCGGAGTTTCTTCATTAGCCTTCGCCGAGGCCTGCTTTTGGAGTTCTGCAGATTTTCCCTTATCTTTCGATGAACTTGAATCGTCTTTCGGAAGAGCCGCCGCCTCTGGTTCCTTAATTTCACCATTCATCTCCGGCAGAGCTGATTTTTCCAACGGAGTTTCTTCTCTCCCCTTCTCAGGGGTGGATTGTTCTGATTCTTTGGGCAGCGGAGTAGTAGTTGGTGGCGTGGCGGACTCGGCAGTTTGTTTGGGCATTGTAATGGTGAGAACTCCATCTCGTAATGTATGAGAAATTCGATCGATTACGGAATTTCGTGGAATTGGGTAAGTTTTATTCAATATAAGCAACCTATTATTTCCCACATTCCGATCTCCGGTCACCACCACCGTCCCTGCCTCTTTTTCAACCTTAACCTTAACATGCTGCTGGTTGAAATCTGGTCAAACGAATCCAAAAAACAAAGGAAAAATCAGACCGGAAGCTAAAAAAAAATGATTAAATTGTTTAGAAAATGAAGAACAGGCCAAAATTAGGACCAGGAAGTTGGAGCAGTAGAATATGAGCTTCGTTTTCATCTCTTTCTTCAACTTTGGGAGTGAAGAGCTCGTTGTAAACCCGCTGGGATTGACGGCGGTTCTTGGCCTTGTGGTTGCCATTCTGGTTGCCGGAAAATGGCGGTTTTCGGGTCGGGTCGGGTCGTATTTGGGGGACGGGTTGAGAATAGGGCGTGGGGAGTGGGTGGTATTTATGGGGTTTGAAAATAGTTCCTTGGAGTTGGGATTATACCTTATTTGAACGGTTTGATTAAATGGGATATACATTTCCCCTTTTGTGTCGTTAAGGTATAACCTTCCTGTTCCATTTTGCTTCTCAAATTCATTTCCTTTTTCATTTTAAAGTTAAAGTTGAAGCAGACGTTAGGGTTTACGTCCTCCTCGAGGAGCTCGAGTTCATAATTGTGTAATGAAATTTCTATGTTGACCAAGTAAACGTCTAACCAAAAGATTGTATTATCAAAAGTTAGAATCATTAAATTAAGAAACCGAACCATGAAGGATTCTGCATTTTTGTACCTTGTCTCCATAAAATTTTTAAATTAACTTAGTAAAATGAATCATATTAAATTAGAAATTGTTACGAAGAATTAGATGGTCTTCTGGAACAACTTTGTTGTCTTATCTGATGCTCTAGTAAAAGAGAGATACACGAAAGAATCAAAATCAAAATCATATCAAAATGAGAGTGGTCTTGAGGATAAGATGGTTGAGAAAGATTTATGAGCTTATAAATAAATAATACGATATCTCCGATAAACAATATTATACCATTGTGTCATCAGTGATTACATATATCAATAGCAACAAGATGCAATTTCTTTTTTTATCGCCATAAAAACTAGAACAATTCTATATCACATTATCTTGTCCACTTTTAAGTAAAAGCTCTTGTGGTTTTGCTTTGAGCTCCCCCAAAAGCCTCAAACTAATGGAGAGAGTATTATTTAATTATAAACATAGGATCATACGACTTTCATCATCCAACATTTCTAAATGAATTTTGGTCACAGACTTTAATACAAATAGTTTTACATAAACACATATTTAGGAATCGAAGAGTTTTCAAAAAACGAAAGGCAGAATGGCTTTAACATGGCGAGGAAAATCTTCAAATTTAGAAACGTACCAATTCCTGGTGGCGTAGCTTCGGCCAATCAAGAACAGGGCGGATCCGAAGGCGAACACCATTGGGAACAGCGTCTGCGAAACGAAAGCGAGTCCCAAGAACTCTACCATCTCAAACAGGTAGTGAGGGCACACGATCACTTCAAACATCCCTCCCCTTGGAATCCTGTACTCTCTATCGCCTTCTTTCCTCAATTTCGCTAGTAGAACGTGGTGATACAGATTTCCAGTGATTCCAATCCAGTACATCGCCAATCCAGCCGCCCTCAGATCGATCTGCGGCTCCTCCAGATTCTGCGAAACCATCTGAGAGTAGATTGTGCTAGCGGTAAGGAGTACATAGGTAATCGAGACTCTAATCGCTTCGCTCAGGCCCATTTTGTTGCCGTATTTATGAACGAACACAACCTGAAATAATCGAGTTTCGATTTCGCTCATTAACTTCCAGAACAGACAGAATCGAGAGGATCTAATTAGTTAAGTAGACGTACCTCGAAGATTCGTTTGAAGAAATGGATGAGGAGAAGAGAGTTGATTAGGAAAATCCTCGTGGAGGAGTTATTGTAGCGCGGGAGGAGGAGGAGGAAGAGGGAGATGGAGGCGACGGCGAAAGCAGGGACGTAACAGAGGAGCATAGCGGATCGGGAAGGGAGGTGGATTTTGTTGGAGGAGGTTTTAGGGCTCCAGAATTTGGAATACTGCAAGTGGCGGCCGAGAAATTCCGACGTAGCGAGGACCAAAATGGACAGCATGGTGAGGGAAGAAAGAGCGAGGAGGAAGGGAGAAGAAAATGGGGAAAAGAGGAATGTCGGCATGGGAGAAGGACCAGAAGATGGCGGCGGCAGCGGCGGTGGTGGTGGCCGTCGTCTTTGCTCTTGAAATCGTGAGTTGCAGAGAAGGATGGAAATTTGATGGTGAACGACGGTTGCCTCATCGCTCTGCAATTTATTAAAAAAAAATCTCCATGTCCTTTTCTTTCTTAGTGTGTGGCCATTACTTAATTAAGTAATATATATATATAATACATTTCTTGTTTTTTTTATTGTTTTTTTCTTTTTCTAGTATTATTTATGATTTATTTTAGCTGTATATTCTAAAAATATTTTTATTTTTGATAGTTTGCAACCTTATTTATAAAAAAAAAAATCAGAGCCTATTGTCCAGATATTTTATGAATAAAAATGTTTTGAAAAAGATTTATAAGTTTAAAGTTATTTAATAAATAAAAAATTAAATAAATCTAGAAAATAACAATTTTTATCCTCCTAATTTTAATTTTTTTTTTATAAAAAAAAGAGTAAACAAAATTTACACATTTATTTTCTAAGAAATTAGTTTTTTTTAAAAAAAATTAGAAGGTTTTTCTCTTTTCCCTCCTCCTCCATGTATTAATGGGTTGGATTAGATTGATCCTGAAAAAAATTTTAAACTCAACTAAATTATTTCAATTGTGTAATTTGTTTTTTAAAATAATGAACCTAACTATAAATTTTTCTTTTTTTATGCCCATTCGAATTATTTATTCAATTCTTTGTTTAAACATTTTTAAGTATAGGTTTGGATTGGATTAATAGAACTTTTCAGATTATCGAATTTTTTTAAATACTCCTCTTCTATACTACGGCCTAAAAATGCGAACAACCCAATTTGGTCGACGAAGTCCATAGAAACACTTGCATGAACGAGCGGTTTTCTAAAACAACAAATATATAACCTAGGAATTCTAGACTAATTTTTGCCAATAACATTTTTAATTTAATTTAATTCAATTCAATTTCATAACATAAAAACTATTTTAATTATAATAAATAAAAACACACAAGTATAAATCGTCGTTATTAAGAACAGGTAAAGAACAAATATCCAACTGTTTTACCTTCTACTATTGTAGTGATAAACAGAATCACAACCTAAGGGAACTAATACAATAGTAGTATGAGCCTAACTTAATTGTGTAAAGCATAAACATAAGTAGCTTTTATGAAATGAAGAAAGGAAGGGTTCTAAAACACAAAAGGGAGCAGGGCTTTGACATGGCTGGGGAAGTTTTCAAATTTGGAGACGTACCATTTCCTTGTGGCATAGCTCCTTCCAGCCAAATAAATGGCGGTGCCGGTGCTGAAGCACAGGGGATAGAGTTCCTGAGAGATGAAAGCAAATCCAAAAAACTCAATGATTTCAAACAGATAGTGAGGGCAGATGACAAGGCTGAAGAGGCCTCCCTTGGGGATTTTGTACCCTGTTTCTCCCGGTTTTCTGGTTTTGGACAAGAGAAAATGGTGGTAGAAGTTCCCGATAATGCCTATCAGAAACAAAGCAATCCCAATGTTTTTCAGATCAATGGGCGGCTCTGGAAGTCCTTGTGATAGGTGCTGTGTGTATATCATGATCACTGTGGACAAGCAGTAGCTGAACGAGATTTTGATTGCTGTATCGAATACCATTTTACTGCTGTACTTGTGAATGAACAGAACCTGCAAAGAATTTCATGATAGTAAGTAATTCATATAGTCTATCCGTTTGAGCTTTTGAATTCAATGATATTTAATATAAGATTAGGTGTTTTGTTGTTTCTGAAAAAATGTTTGTTTATATTACTTTTCATTGTTCTCTAAATGATTCATATGATCTTCCAAAACTTTTGTTATCATTTCTAGTTACCCTCAGATGCAATTGGTTGAAGAAATAATAAAAGAATAGCTTCTATAATTTGAGAAGAATACTCGATTTGTTTCAAAAATAATTGTCGCATGAATGAAAGGTACAATAAGTGCAAATCATCTAGTGATTATTGAAACAAATTTCTTAGAAAACTGTTGAGCAGAAACGTGCAGTTTGTTCTTTCTTGTACATGACTTCATATAATAATAATTCCAAAATTATTATTATACACAAAGTAGACTCCACGAGTTCTTAATGACAATTAAATTAGTAGAGGAAAACTAATGAACTCGGATATTTATAAGTGGATGGTTAATATTCAAGTTCATACGACAAAAAATTAAAAAAAAGAAATCAAGATAGGTTAAAAGTCTTCCGAATCCCGTAAACATAAAGACGAGTTCCGAAATCTCCAGAGGAACCATAAGATGCAAAGAAGGGAGAAGAGATCCAGATCTCTCCGCCATTTTCTTTTCGCCACGAATCTTCATACAGTTGTATAAAGGACTCGAGAAATTTTCGAAGAATAAGATTAACAGGTTCTCAATAAAGCCACAATCGAACTGAATCGAAGAATTAATTTTAAAATCGGATTGAAATTTCAGAACTCAATCAGAGGCGTAGAGAAATTGAGAGTACCTCGAAGATCCTCTTGAAGAAATGGAGAGTGAGAGCAGCTTTAAGCACAAGAATCCTCTCATTGTCGCTTGGAAAGAACCAAAACGACGCCGCACCGGCGAGAAATGCCGGCGTATAAGCCAAGAGCATTCCATATTTGGACGAAAGCTTAGGTTCCTCCGATGGAGCTTTCGGAGAACTATTCGCATTCCAGAACTTGGAATACTGCAAATGCTTACCATTAATCTCTGAAATCCCTGCCATCCCCATCGCCGTCGAGCTCACCACCGTCATAACGTTTACGAACGTGGAAGGAGGCGGTGGGAAAAGAAACGCCGACAAAATACCCATCGCCGCCGAGAACCAGATGAGAAAAACCGCCAGAAACTCTCTGTAGAATTTTGAAACGCCTTTGGAGGCGTTGAAGATGAGGATTTATAGATCGCAACCATTTTCAGTTCAGGGGATTGAACGTTCGGGTCGAGCCGAGAACCAGTGGTGCTGTATATCGCACGTTATATTGAAATTGCAGATGGGCGTTTCCGTAAATTCACATCTTTCATTTTAGTCTCTTCGTCCCGATTTTAGTCTCGTAGTTTCAATAAATTTAATTCAATTTTATTTTTCATAAAAAATTTTAAATAATAAATTTACTTAATCGAACTTAATTCTTAAGAAAATTTATTAAATAATATAATAACTCTCAGACTAAAAAAGCACGGTAAAATCTTAGGATTGCATTAAGTAAATTAACTTAGGTAAATAATTTATTATGTATTATATATACCTAATTATCTATTATATATAACTATTTCTCATGATTTTATAGATGTAATTTTTGTTTACTCTCCGCTTTACCTCTCATTTACCATGTATAACATCCAATGAGCAGTAAATATTTCATAATCCAACATAAAAATACATTTTCACAATTTATAAGAATGCTCAAAAAGACTGATTTTTTTTTTAATAAAATAAACAATAAACTATTACTTTTAATTTTATTTTATATATTTTAACCTCTATTTAAAATAAAATAACAATTAATTATATCTAGTAGAGGTTTATTATTTTAATTTTATTTCAAATATGTTTGGATAAATTTAAACTTTTTTTTAATTAATTTACCTGCGAAACACAAAAATTTGACATGAAATTCATAATTTAACTAGTTAGGAAATTAAAGATATTTAAATCGTTTCGACTGAGGCGTGGTTGAACTATAACTTATTAAAATGTTGACAAGTAATTTAAAATTTTAATACAATTAATAAAATCTTTCACGATTTATGGATCTGTCTATTTATTTATTAATATGATGCTAGAAATATAAAGTAAGAATATAAATTTTAATATTTTAACCATTTAAATAAAAAAACGTCTAAAAATGCCTTTATGCTTAAAAAAAATGTATTAGTTTTGAAATTTGAAAATAACATTTAAATTTTAAAAGTGTTTAAAAAATATACATGTTTAAACTTTTAAAACCTTTTCTAAAAAATTCAAAAAATTTTAAATTCGTTTTAAAAATCTCATAAATATTTTATAAATATCTTTTAAACATAGTACCGGAAACTTTTTAATACTTGAATGGAAAGGTATTTCCATAAAAAAAATTAATTATAAAAGCATTTTTTAAACTTTTTATTATTTAAAAATGTTTTTTTTAAATAAAATATAAAATTTAAGATTGATCTTATTAATTTTATTATGAACTAGTGGTTAGTTGAACTTTCACAATAATTAAAAATTAAAATCGAAACTCAACGATATATATCCTAATGTAATTGAAATTATTATTATAATAATCAGTGGATTCTATTTCACTCTCTTTTATTATTTAGATGAAGAGTTTGTAAATATTATAATAAGATGAAGCTATTTTTTTTAATAATTATCCAACTATTATTCTTTTGGAATAAAAATAAAACAAAATGTTGTCGTTAACGGTTCTCCTTTTTTGCAATATATATATTTATTGTTTTGATTAACTGATAATATATATTTTTATTATCTTATATATTATAAGATAATATAAATAATTTATTTTATTGCAAAGTTTGTGCTTTCTTTTTTGGACCCGCCCCTATCCTCACCCCTCATAATTTATATTTTTTAATTCACCGTGATAGACTTTTCTAAATTACAATTAAATTATATGATTTTAAATAATTATAATTCTGTATCCACTGAATTTAAAATTTTAAAAGATACAATTATATTAAAAAATAAAAATAAAGTTTCATACATTATTTCATATCGAAAGCCTTTTCTTTTGTTGCTTAAACTAAAATGTATATATTACAAATTATATAACATTTATGATTATTTATATTTTTTTAAGAGTTGACATTTTATTTTAATTATTCGGTTAATTAATTTTCTAAAAATAAAAAAACAAAACCAATGGATTATGCCCAACATTATTAAACAAAGAGATAGAAGAAATGCTGGCATGTTAATAGAATCACAGCCACTCACAAACAAAATAATAATAATGTAATTCGGTCTTATTTGAATAATTATAATATTTCTTTAATATCTCTCACTTATTTAATAATCATTTAAATGCTAATCATAATACAGCAAACCCATGTAATAATCAAGTGGAATAATTATTATCTCTTTCTTAAAAAAAATGGAACAATAATTAATTACGGCCCGATCGAAATAATTACCAAAAACCCACAAAATAACACAATAGTTCCAATTAAATTAAAAATTTATTCAACGTGACACCAACATGATAGATTAAGCATATGAAAGGATACATCAAGCATAATATAAAAAACTTAAATTATAAAAAATACGCTTAAACAACCATCATTGAAATTGTGACAATGATCTAGAATAACGTGACCATATTCTGATTCAAGTCTCAATTTTCGTACGATTCGATCCATTGAGGAGTATTTAATATAATTTGACCGAGATTAAAATACAAAGGGAACAAGGGCTTTGATATGGTGAGGGAAGTCCTCAAATTTAGAGACATACCATTTCCTAGTGGCGTAGCTTCGCCCACCCAAATACATAGCCGTGGCGATGGCGAAGCACAATGAGTAGATTGTCTGAGAGATGAGCGCGAATCCGAAATAAACAGTTATTTCAAACAGATAGTGAGGGCAAATCACAACGCAGAAGAGGCCTCCTTTGGGGATTTTATAGCCTGTTTCGCCCTTTTTTCTAGTTTGGGACAATATATAATGGTGGTAAAAGTTCCCGATAATTCCTATCAGAAACAGAGCAATTCCGATGAATTTCAGATCAATGGATGGCTCTGGAAGTGTTCTTGAGAGTTCTTGAGCGTAAATCATCAGCGCTGTAGAGGAGAAGTAGCTGAGGGAGATTATTAAGGCTGAATCGAGCGCCATTTTGCCGCTGTATTTGTGAATAAACAGTACCTGTGTAGGAATTTCAGGCGGAATTTGAGGAATGGCGATGAATGTAAAAGAAGACGGAATTTAGGGCAAAAAATTTGAGTACCTCAAAGTTCCTTTTGACGAAATGGAGAGTGAGAGCAGATTTAAGCAGAAGAATCCTCAGATCGTCGTTTGGAAAGATCCAGAACGATACAGCGCCGGCGAGAGCCGCCGGCGCATAAAGTAAGAGCATCCCCGATCTTGATGAAATCTTGAATTTCTCCAGATTAGATGATTTCGTAGCGCTATTATTTGTATTCCAGAATTTCGAATACTGTAAATGCGCTGTTCCTCTCGCTTCCGAAAGTCCGATCACCGCCACCACCACTGAACTCACCACCGTCATCACGTTCACTAACAGTGAAGGCGGCGGCCGAAAAAGAAGCGCCGAAATAGTATCCATCGCCGCCATCAACGAAGCCTCTGAGTAAAAGTTTCTCTACAAATTTGTATCTACCGGTCTGAAGCACCGGAGGGATGGATTTTATAGAACGGGTCTTGCGGTGACAACGAAGAGTGGCATTGTGGTAATTTTGGCTAAACGGCATCGTTTTGCTTTAATAAACAAAAATCGCACGTAACGTGGCGTGTGATCTGATCTTCAATATTTTTTCGAAAACTAAAAAACAAAAACCAAATTATTGGAATTGGTGAGATCAGTTCCATATATAAAATAAATAAATTAAAGATATGATTTTATAATTGAAATTTATTTTTACATGGACATATGTAAATAAATTTTTTAATGAGTTTTTTTATTTTCTAATAATATTTAAAAAATATATTGTCGGCTAAGCAACTATTAATATAAAATACGTCACGCCTTACCCTATCTGTTAATAGGATTCGGTTTATTATTATTATTTTTTAATTTAGTGTATGGTTTAATAATTGATTATATATATAGTAAAGAAACACTAATTTCATAAATAATTAATTATTTTGTAGATGACCTAGGATAAATTTATAATTGGTTTGAGTAAATTTTTTTTGTTGGAAAAAAATATATTTAGAATTTAATTATGTGTTTTTTTTTTTTTTTCTTAAACCAATCATAAATATATATTTTCTACCATTTTTTACCACATTTTAATTTATAAATAATTTATTAACTTAAATTAATTTCATTATATCACGTTAAATGATTGATAATTTATACATATTAATTTATTTTTATAACGGACGGTATTATTATTATTTTTTTCTTTTTCTCCCCATTTTAAAATGCGACTAAGAGAGATTTAATGTAAAACATGCATGGTTTCTCTCTGATTAACGTGGTCCCACAATTAGTATCAAACTCATTTATATAATAATGTATAACTCCAAGAAAATTACTCTAATAAGTATATATATTCAATTATTAAAAAAATTACTTTAATGAAATATATATTAAACATTTATAATTTCAATTATTAAAAAAATTACTTTAAAAAGTATATATTAAATCAGTATAACTTCAATTATTAAAAAAAATTACTTTAATTAAGTATATATTAAATCGTGTAGAACTTCAATTAATAAAAATAAAAAATAAATTGATAATCCCGACATTACTCTGCGATATGATCAAGTATTTGGAACGAATTTAAAAATATGAAATAAGTATGAATCGCTGATTTTTATTTTTCAATTTAGCCTCGTTTTCGGGTCGGTTCGGTTCAAATCGATTTGTTTGGTTATTAGAAGAAAATTGAACTCGGTTTAATATTAAGAAAATAATGAAGACCAATCCGACCCGAATTATATAAAAGGTAATGAAAAAGCTCACTCTATCCCGCCCCACCTTATCTAGAAAGCCGAACTTAGAAGCTGTTAAAAATACATATTTTTATTTTAAAAAATGGAATTTAAAATTTGAAAGTTATCGCCCTATTCCGCTCCATTTTATTTTTCATATTTACAAAAAAAAAAAATATTTAATATTGTTTTAACAAACTAAAAAAATTTAAAAGAAAGTCATTAATTTAATATATATATATAAATAGAAGTGAGGTAGAGACAGAGACGAAAAATATAATCTCGTGTATATATATATATATATTTTTTTTGTCTAAACTGTTTGAGGGAGGTAAAATGGACATCGTTGTCTAAGCTTCCTCTTCACAACTGTTCTTCTCCTTTGGTGCCTAAATAGAGAAAATAGTAAATAAGACACCATTATATGACATTTTTTACGGTTAAAAGACTCGATTCTTTTATCTACAAGTGTGAAATTAAAGAACAAATGAAATTAACAATGTGCAGTAATGATACGAGAATTCTGAAACAAATTCACATAAGTTCTAGACTAGAAGATGATTTCGACTTAACTTGCAAGAAAGATGCTCATAATAATGAGATATTATGCTTAATGTATTTAATGCTTAAATTGTTAATAAGAATAAAGCGAAGTTGACTGAGCTAAAATAGTGTTGCCTAACATGGGCTAAAATGAGTTCAATTACTTGCCTAACATGGCAGCGGGTATTCCATCGCTGTCTTGAGGTATTTACATGAACCAACCATTCTATCCAAAAGGTAGAATTTTAATAATTTTAATAATTTTAAATTAAATTATATTACAGATTGCTAGAACCATGAGAAAAGAATAAAAGACTTCGTCCAATTGTCTCAATTCGTCTCAATTCTCTCGAGAGCAGCCAACCGAAGAAGCCGGCGGATTGAATTGAATTGAATTATCCAATTCGACGCGTCTTGGCGCAATAAAATCCCCCAAACCAATAAACCCATTACACTCGCAGCCCTGTTTACCAACAATCGACCTGTTCAACCCAACCTCGACTCTTCGGCTACTTTGTCCTCACCTATGTCTGTATTGCTCATCGTTTTCGTCTCTCGCCGCTTCTCTGCTTAAAGATCCACGCCCCTTTGATTCTTTCCCCAGATGGGTCGATGAATTTCTTCGACGACTTCAATTTCTTGATTAGCTCTTCTGATTTCTGGGTTTGTGTATGGATTTAGTGATGTGGGTATTGTAGTTCATCCTCAGATTTGATTGAATACAGGGATCGAGGCATTGACTTAAATACTTTACTTGTTTACTGTTCTTAATCTTTTGGGTATCTGAGCGTTTACTTTGATATTAATTCCTCTGCCATTTTTACACTAATAAATGGTTATCAAGTTTTGGGGATGATCTGATTCTGATTCTGATTCTGATTCTTGATTCTGTTCATATTGCTTGTGATTATTTGACTGTGATTCTGTGATTACTTTCGGGGTTGACTTGGAGATTGTGTGATGATCGGATCTTATGTTTAGAATGTATCACTGTGCTTGAATTGAGGAAGGTTTTTGAGTTGTGGGAATCAATGGGGAATACTTGTGTAGGACCAAGCATTTCAAAGAATGGATTCTTTCAATCTGTGTCTGCTGCTATGTGGCGATCTAGATCGCCCAAGAATTCAATTTCTCATCATACTAATGGAGAAAACGTCCATGACGTAGCAGCTACCGAACCCGAATCGGCTATGCCGATTCAAAACCAACCCCCTGAGAAGGTGACAATGGCAGAATCAGTAGTCAAACCTGAACCGCCCTTGGAACCTAAGGCACGCCATAACCCTGTTATGAAGAGAGTAGGTAGTGCTGGTCTTCGGGGCGAACCGATTTTACAGACAAAAACGGGGAACTTTAAGGAGTATTATAGCTTAGGTAAGAGATTGGGTCAAGGACAATTTGGGACTACATATATGTGTGTGGAGAAGGCAACTGGGAAAGAGTATGCTTGTAAGTCAATTGCTAAGAGGAAGTTGGTTAATGAGGATGATGTTGAGGATGTGAGAAGGGAAATTCAGATAATGCATCACTTGGCTGGACACCCGAACGTTATATCGATCAAGGGGGCTTATGAGGACGCGGTTGCGGTTCAGGTAGTTATGGAGTTATGTGCGGGCGGTGAGCTATTTGATCGGATCATTCAACGTGGACATTATACTGAAAGGAAGGCTGCTGAGCTTACTAGGACCATAGTCGGGGTCGTGGAGGCGTGTCACGCTCTTGGAGTCATGCATCGAGACCTTAAGCCCGAGAATTTTCTCTTCGTTAGCAAGGACGAGGAGTCACTTCTCAAAACAATTGATTTTGGACTATCAATATTCTTCAAACCAGGTGAATAGCTGTGATTCTTGTCATGATAATTACAATAGCTATCAGCTTTGTATATCTAATGTGTTCTAAATGTGTTGAGATGATATTTGTTGTTTGGTGCTGCTTTGAATCTATGGTGTTACTGATCAGGGTGAAGCTAATGAATGTTTTACGAACAGCGTTCTCGGGCTTTCCCTTTCGAGTTTCCCCTCAAGGTTGTTAAAACGTGTCTGTTAGGGAGAGGTTTTCATACCCTTATAAAGAATGTTTCGTTCTCTTTCCCAACCGATGTGGGATCTCACTATCCACCCTCCCTCGGGGCTCATTGTCCTTGCTGGCACACTGCCTCGTGTCCACCCCCCTCCGAGGTTCAATCTCCTCGTTGGTACATTGCCCGATGTCTGGCTCCGATACCATTTGTAACGGTCCAAGCCCGCCACTGGCAGATATTATCCTATTTGGGTTTTTCCTTTCAGGCTTCCACTCAAGGTTTTTAAAGTGTGTCTCCTGTGAGAGGTTTCCACACCCTTATAGAGAATGCTTCATTCTCCTCTCCAATCTATGTGGGATCTCACAATCTACCCCCTTCGGGTCCTAACGTCCTTGCTGGCACATTGCCTCGTGTCCACCCCTCTCCGGGGTTTAGTCTCCTCGCTGGTACATTGCTCGGTGTCTGGCTCTGATGCCATTTGTAACAGTCCAAGCCCACCATTAGTAGATATTGTTCTATTTGAGCTTTCCCTTTTGGGTTTCCCCTTAAGGTTTTTAAAATGGGTCTGCTAGAGATAAGTTTCTACACCCTTATAAAGAATGCTTCGTTCTCCTCTCCAACCAATGTGGGATCTCACATTTTCGTTTTGAAGAACGAGTTCAAAACTCTAGGACCCTATTTTTGTGTGATGTTTACGTGCATTCGAATGTAAAACGGTATAGTCGTACTAGGTTGTGATTTTGACTCTTCATACATGGATTATGTTCATTCAGGCGAAAAGTTTAATGATGTGGTCGGGAGTCCGTATTACGTCGCACCTGAAGTCTTGCGGAAGCGCTACGGGCCCGAATCCGATGTTTGGAGTGCTGGAGTAATTGTCTACATTCTGTTAAGTGGAGTACCTCCCTTTTGGGCTGGTACGTCTAGTTTGCTCCATAATTTTTGGAAGTTTAACCTTCATATCTGAACATGAATTTCTTGTTATAAAACACTTGTATCCTCTCTTATTCCATTCTCCACGTATCGATGTATAGAAACCGAACAAGGGATATTTGAAGAGGTCCTGCACGGCGATCTCGACTTCTCTTCGGACCCTTGGCCTAGCATCTCCGACAGTGCGAAAGATTTGGTGAGAAGAATGCTTATTCGAGACCCGAGAAAGAGATTGACAGCGTATGAAGTTTTGTGTAAGTCATCTCTTGAATTTCATGTTCTTCAGTTGTTCATCATATGTTGAGTAACTCATGCAGCAACTCTTCTAAGGCCTCGAATGTCCTCGAGATCCTTTTACGTGTATGATCGGTGTTTTTTCTCGTTCCAAGGTACTCATTGAGCTAATTCATTACAGGCCACCCTTGGGTTCAAGTCGACGGTGTGGCTCCAGACAAGCCACTCGACTCGGCGGTCTTGACTCGCTTGAAGCAGTTTTCAGCCATGAACAAGCTCAAGAAAATGGCTATCAAGGTAGGACTTTGAATTTCCCCATATTGATAGCTGTAGAAAAATCTACTTGCTTACATTGAAATAAGTGAACGCTGATAAGAAATCAACTCGAGAGAGTGCTCGGGAATCATAAAACGTTCCTCTAGTTGACAATGATAAAAGAAAGAATCTTAAATTCGAAAGACGTGTGGAGGAGGAACTCACAATGAAGCCTTAGAACGAATAGTGTCCCGAACCTTCTTCTGTCCAACTAACCCTCCCATATTGTCGTGGTTAGTCCACTCTCGTTATTTGGACCAACTTCTGACCGAACAAAAAAGGGGTGAGTCACTCTTTTTCACATACAACGGGAGAAAAGGTTACGTAGCAAGCCCCTCCAGGATAAGGGGGCGACGGTCAACCATCCACTCTCGAGATTCATATGGATCAACCGATCTCGAGATTCATTATTTCACGAAAACGGGACAAAAGTGACTGATTCGTTTGTTTGGAATTGTGTAGGTCATTGCAGAGAGCTTATCTGAAGAAGAAATTGCTGGGCTCAAGGAAATGTTCAAGATGATAGACACTGACAACAGCGGTCAGATCACTTTTGAAGAACTCAAAGCTGGTTTAAAAAAATTTGGAGCTAACCTTAAGGAGTCCGAAATTTATGATCTAATGCAAGCAGTAAGTATTTTGTCGAGGTTTTCTTACGACGTTCGAGAACGTTTTTTTGGTCTAGATGTATCAAATCTATGCTATGGAATTGCAGGCCGATATCGATAACAATGGAACCATCGACTACGGGGAGTTCGTAGCTGCCACATTACATCTAAACAAAATCGAGAAGGAAGATCATCTTGTAGCAGCTTTTTCGTATTTCGACAAGGACGGAAGTGGGTTCATTACGCACGACGAACTTCAACAAGCATGTAAAGAGTTCGGGATAGAAGATCTTCAATTGGAAGAAATGATGCACGAGGTCGATGCAAACAATGTAAGTAGTTTTCTACTCATTACGTGATTGTTGATTAAACCGACCATGTTATGACTCTCCTTACTTTACAGGACGGAACGATCGACTATAACGAGTTCGTGGCAATGATGCAGAAAGGAAATGTAACAAATGCTGGGAAGAAAGGTCTTCAAAGTACCTTCAGCATTGGGTTTAGGGAGGCTCTAAAACTATAGTGTTCTATGTAAAGGTACCATTATTCAAGTTAGTTTCTTCATTGTTCTTAGCTGCTCGCCTGCTCGTTTTCGGCACCACGTCATGAGCTTGCTTGCACTCGACACCATGTCGTTCATCGCCATCGTGAGCTTGCTTGCACTCGACACCATGTTGTTCATCGCCATCGCTTCGTTTTTGAAAACTATGCAGAGAAAAGAGCATACATTTTTTCTTCATTTTCCCTTGAATTGATTTGTATCATTATGTAAGACTTTTGATGAGTAATGAAAATTTTATTTCTCAAATAAATAATATAATTAAAATTATAAAAAATAATTAAAATAAAAAAATAAACTTGGGGGAACTCAAATAAATTAAATTAAAGATATTCTTAAACTTTAAGGTTATTTGTGATGTCCGGGAGAACAAAATATCATTCACAAGGGTGTACAAACCTTTTTCTACTAGACGCGTTTTAAGGCCTTGAGGGGAAGCCCTAAAGAGAAAGCCTAAAGAGGACAATATCTGCTAGCGCTGGGTCTGGGCCGTTACAAATGGTATTGGAGCCAAACACCGAACGATGTGCTAGCCTTCTCGCTGTTTCCCGAAGGGGGTAGACACGAGGCGGTGTGCCAGTAAGGATGGGGCCCCAAAGGGGGTGGAAGCCTTCTCGTTGTTTCCCGAAGCGAGTAGACACGAGGCGATGTGCCAGTAAAGATGTTGGTCCCAAAGGGGGTGATTTGGTAGCGGTCCCATATCGATTGGAGAAAGGAATGAGTGCCAACGAGGACTAAGAATGTTGGCCCCAAAGAGGGTGATTTGGTGGCGGTCCCATATCGATTGGAGGAAAGAAGTAGTGCCAGCGAGGACCGTGGGCCGGAAGGTGTCCCACATTGGTTTATTAAACTATATAAATATTTTTGAATTTTTAAATTTTTAAAGAAGTTTTAGCGAATATTTTCGAGAGAAAAGTGTAAAGTTAATAACTAATTTTATTAATTTAATTTGAAGTCTTTTTATATAATAGGAAAATTCCCTCTCTGAAGATATCCGGACTGTCGCATCACAACTAATTTCGCGCCATTAAAGAACCAGAAAAAACCTCCATTTCCTGATCTCCTCCTCGTGAATGTTTCTCTCGCCTTGGTTCTCATTCATGCTTGGAACTTGATTGAGATTTGAGATACTGTGTAGTTCTTCCTCGCCTTGGTTCTCATTCATGGCGACTGCAAGGGAACGGAAAAGCCGGGAAGAAGAAGGGTTGAGAACGGCGGGGAAGTTTGCAGATAAAAGATTCTTTAGGAAACCGCCGAAAAAACCTTACGATCGGCCGCCGACTACCCTAAGAACATCGGGAAACAATTCGTGGATCTTGAAGCTCGTTGATCCGGCTCAAAGGCTCATTTCCTCTGGTTCTCAGATGCTTTTTTCCTCCGTGTTCCGAAATTTCCCTCACCGTTTACCGTCTCGTACTTCGTCTCCAGGTTTCAGTTTCAACTTCTTAATGATGTTCTTATGGCTCTGTAGTGGATTATTCAAAGATGCTCTTGCTGGAGTTGATTTTTGTGATTTGCGACTGTTTGTTGCTTTTCAGATGTTTGATTTTATTTCACAAACTTCTTGAGATTAAGTTAGTCGATCTGGCTCATAAATGCTTAAATGTAATGATTATTTTGTTATCTTGTAACTTTTTCATCCATAAAAAAGTTTTAGCTAGTTCAAAATTTACTGGCACGTACTAGACTTGGACGGTTTTTCTTTTAGGAACTTCATAGTTGAGTAACATCTGATATTTTTCTTTTCAAATATTAATCTGCTCATTCTTTTTTCTGTTTATGCATTTGATGGCATCAGAATCAAGCCAGTCAAGAAGGGATGACAAGAAGGCCGATGTAACGGTAAGTTTTCTTTTGGTGTTGGGCGGGTGCTCGTGCATAGAAGATACGAATGCTCTTGAAAGTTGGTGCTTGAACTTGATGGTCATTAATTATTGTACTCTTATTTAAGAGAACTTGGTTATCTATAACGTTCTGGGTGTTCTGAATGCACTTGCTTTGATCAGTTTAATTGGAGAGTTTCTTATGGTATGGAAATTTACTTGCAAAGGATCCTTTTGAGGTCCAGGTAGCAGCAGCTAATGTAGGTGATAATCAGAATAGAGCTGATCGATTTGTGATGGTGGAACTTGAAAAAGCTATGAAGCAAAAGACCTTCACCAGGTAACTTTTGCAGTATATATTTATTTTGCCTTACATGAGTACCATTTTAGGTAGTTTGGATTTTATTTTCTTATTGTTAATAGACTTGTTCTTTTGCTCTTGGGATTATTGCTATGGCTCCTCAAAATGAAAACCACTCTGCAGGTCTGAGATTGATCATTTGACGGCTCTAATGCATTCAAAAAATGTTGATTTACCTGATGTGAATGAGGAGAAAAGGGTTAAGTTTATCTCTTCTATTCCAGAATCTAACAGGAATGAGTTTAAAAAAATACCAAATTCAGAAGTAAGGATGTGCAGGCAATCGTTCCCAACTCCCATCTTGAGTTCAAGTGTAGGGGTCTTTCTTTTCATCCCCATTTTTTTCTCTGATTTTCGTGCATGAGAGTCCCCAAATAAGTTATTTTCGATATGCTTTTTTGATACTGTGATCAATTTTGTGGCTAAAACGTCTTCAGGTCCTTGATGAAGATATTTCTTCACCTGCAGAGATAGCTAGAGCATACATGGGGAGTAGGCAGCCAAAAATTTGTCCTTCAATGCCATCTTTGCGAGCACAAGGACTTGGGGAAAATTCTGCTCGTCCAACTAGTACATCATTCTCTTCAAAATCAACAGATATGTTGCTTGTGCCATCATCTACTAATCAGGTACTTGTGGGAATGATTCCAGAAACATTTATTTGCTAGGTTTTATGAGACCCCTAGTATGTTTTTTTGGCCGTGCTTTTGAGTTGGGATCACTGTTAACCGGAGATTGTAATATTGAAATAAGGAAGATTTTATAATCTAATCATCCTGCATGTCTCGGATACTCTGTTTCATGGAGTTGCACGTTAAATCATCTCACTGTGTTGTTTCTACCATATGCAGGGTTTGAAACGTAGGAGTTCATTTTTTGATAATCACATTGGACCCAATGTTCCTCTGCGCAGAATTGGACAAAAACCTAACATTCATCTCTCGAAGGGATCAAGCTTACCCGTTTCTACTAGACCTATTTCTGTTCCTGTAGATAGACTTAGTTTTGACGCTTCTCAGAGCTCCAAATTTGGGAAAGTTCATAATTTTCCATCTTCCATTTGGAACTCACAATTGTCTCTTAAACCCAAGAAAAATTCTACAAGAAAGTTTATTATGAACGTGGAGAGTGATAACATTCGTGGTGCAGGCAGCAGCTCTATTTATACTCCTTCAAGGTCTTACAAGATGGCTTCTAAGATATTGGAGCAGCTCGATAAGTTGACCCCTCCAAAGGAGAAAGTTAAACGACTTCCTGTTGGGGAAATATCTCCCCCTAAGCTGTCACCATTCACAGTAGATGGGCATCTCAAAATTGTGAAGGATGTGGACTTACCCAGAGATGAAGAACTTGTTCATGACAACAAGCAGTCAATTAGTTTGCATGGCGTTCCATATCATGACAACCAAGAAAACACTTCACAAAATAAAGAGAAGCTGGAAAATATGAAACCATCGGATCCTCATCATAGATGTGCTCTACTGAAGGACTCAGGGTCCATAGGTTCAAGTAAGGATTCCATGATTGATCTTGGAGTGCCTGCGCCTGCTGTGGTGAAATCTATTATTCAGCCCCCAAAAAACAAACTGGCGTTTCAGATGTGGCCTGACAAGGTTCGTAATCTTTTAACTTCCCAAAATGGAATGGTAAAACATTGCGGTCTCATGGTAAAATTCGGAGTTCAAACATTTTATGTGATGCTTACAGACCCGCTTTCTGCCATTGACAAAAGTACCATTTTGTTGTTTTTTGCTCTCTTTCTTGATGAGGGTGTTAGATTCTGTTACGATAACGTTTGAAGTTATTTCAGTTACCTGCGTTCAAGTAACACTTCAGACACCTAATTAGAATCCATACGTGGTTTTCATTTTTTCTTCTGCATATTTTTTACTTGAAGGATTCTAAGTAATGCACCTCTGATCAGATATTATGTTCCGTCTGGTTTCTTTCCTTGGGATATGTTTGTTTAAATCTTTGAACCTTTAACCAGTCTCACTGTCTTTCTCAATAATAGGATCGTGTAGACCAGGATGAAAGTTCTCCTGATAGAGTTGCACCTGCTACCGCGGAGGATAGGGAAGGTGACATTTCTTTGGCTGTGAGACAAACAACTGCTAATGAGACTCTAGCACCATCAAAGCCACAAACTGCATCTGAAGTGATAGTGGGTTCTCCTCTCAACAGAAGTTCTGATTTGAAAACTTCTGAAGGTAGCGTTCATGATGATATGGATACCAGTTTTACGTTCCAAATTGCACCTTCACAACCAGAAACTATTGATTCTGCACCCACCAATTCTTTTGGAAACAATGATCTTCCAGAAAAGAAGCGAATTGATTCTCCAGTTTTTAGCTTTGGAAATAATGTCTCTCCACGAAAGCAGCCAAACGCTAGTTCTACTGCATTTGATGTTGGGAATAAGGATGCTTCTCGAACAGAATTATGTGCTGCTCCCGAAAATGGCAATGGAGCTCCATTCCCATACACGCAGTGGAATCCAGCTTCTTCATATTCAGATGTTCAAGGATCAGTGTATTTAAACGCCGTTGCATCTTCAAACCATAAGCTAGATTGCTCTTGGGGGTCAGTATATTCCTTTCGATCATCTATTCAGCAGTACAGTTTTGTAGCCTTTCCATTATCTTTTATCAATTAGAGAAACTTACGCATGTCTCCTATGGGTTTTGAGTGGCTTGATTGATACCTTGTCTCCCCTTCTCTTCTAATTCTCGTTCACTTTTCTTATATTTTAGAAGACAAAAACCCTGAATGCACGGAAAACATTAGGTGGAGGCATTGAAAATTCGTTCTAACTGGATGTGAATTTCATAGAAAGAGAATCATTTGTTGAAGTTCTTAAGGGAAGAAAAGAACTTTATAGCACATGCCTCAAGAGCTTCTATATGACATTTATTTGAACATTTTTTCATATCATCTTTCTTCACTTCTGACATTATTTTTGCATTCGTTCACTTTTTATACCTGGCAAGTTTGTTTCCTTCATGTTGTTCGTTGTTTACAGTTCATGCAATTTTGTCCATTGAAGAATCTGCGTCATGAAAACTGATA